GAAAAAAAAAAAAAAAGAAACCAGGTGCTGGGTGAAGCCTAATGTGTTCTATGAGTTTATTAAACTGAACCCCTAACAACTATAGGTAGCAGAGATAGGCACTTTTGTTACTACATAAATCATTCAGGACTACATCCCAATCGTATTAAAGATTCAAATAACATGGAATTTTTACAAAGTAAAATCTTTTTCACAGAAGTCTTTTGTCCCTTATTTTTAATTACTAATCAGATTACTTACTTAGATAATCATTCCATTTTTCTATTACCTCTGAATCAGTTTTGTAATTTGTGTTTTTCTAGGAATTTATCTCATCCAAGTGTTAAGTTTTTGGGAAGAAAGTTGTTCACAACATTTCCTTATCATTCTTTTCTTATATGGTTTGTACTTAATGTTTATTAATTTTATGGAACTTTACAAAAAAAACTAGCTTTTGGTTCCATCCATTTTTTTCTGTTATGTTTCTATACCTATTTCATGGTTTTGTGCTCTGATCTTTATTATTTTCTTTTTTCTAGTTTGGGTTTTACTTTTTCCTTGTTACTTTTCAAGGTAAAAGATATGATTGAGGCTTTTCTTCTCTAATTATACAAGCATTTCATACTATGAATTTCCCACTAAACCTTGCTAAGCTGCGTACCATAAATTTTGATATGCTGTGTTTTTATTTTCTTTTAAAGTGTTTTACAAGTTATCTTTTGATTTCTTCTTTGAGTAATCTGTTTTTTAGAAATCTGTCATTTAATTCCAAAATATTTGGAGATTTTCCAATTATTTTTCTAATATAAATTTCTAATTTAATTATATTATTATAAAAAAAAAAGACTTATTTATTAGGTTGGGTGCGGTAGCTCATGCCTGTAATCCCAGCACTTTGGGAGGCTGAGGCAGGCTGATCACAAGGTCAGGAATTCAAGACCAGCCTGGCCATTAGGGTGAAACCCCGTCTCTATTAAAAATACAAAAATTAGCTGGGCACTGTGGCTACTTGAGAGGCTGAAGCAGGAGAATTGCTTGAACCCTGGAGGTGGAGGTTGCAGTGAGCTGAGATCACACCACTGCACTCCAACCTGGGCAATAGAACAAGACTCTGTCTCAAAAAAAAAAAAAAAAAAAAAAAACACAACGTATTTTAATCCTTTAAATTTTTTGGCACCTGCTTTAGGAATTGTCATACAGTCTATGCTGAAGATTCTTTCATGTGTGCTTGAGAATAATTTGTAATTTGCTGTTGCTATGTGGAATACTCTTTAAACGTCAATTCGGTCTTAAAAGTTAGCGGCGTTGTTCAAGTCTTCTGTATCCTTACTGGTTTTCACTCTAGTTTTGTTATCAGTTAATGTGACACAAATGGCTAAATCGCCAACTATAGCTGCTACAGTTTTTATTTCTTCTTAACTTCTGTAAACATTTTGCTTTGTTTGCTTTAGGGCTCTGTTGTTATGAGCCTATATATTTATAATTGTTATACATTTCTGATGTATTGAACCTTTTATCATTATAAAATTTTATTGAGAAGATCATGTCTAGCAAAATTCATCTTGAAGTCTATTTTATCTCATACCAATATAACCATTTTAACTGTTATTGTTACTGAATGCATGCCTATCTTTCTTCATTCTTGTGCCCTAACCTATTTGTGTCTTTGAATTTAAAGTGCATCTTTTACAGACAAATAGTAAGATCTTGGTTTTTAACCCATCCTACCTATGCCTTTTGATTGAGTGTTCAGTCTATTCACATTTAATGTGTTATTAGTTGTATTAATCCATTATTACACTGCTATAAAGATATGACCTGAGATAGAGTAATTTATAAACAAGAGGTTTAACTGACTCACAGTTTGGCATGGCTAGAAAGGTTTCAGGAAACTTACAATCATGGTAGAAGGAAAAGGGGAAGCAGGTACCTTCTTCACAAGGCAGTAGGAGAGCGAGCGAGTAAAGAGCAAGTGCACACTTTTAAATCATCAGATCTCATGAGAACTCCCTCACTATCATGAAGCCAGAATAGGGGAGACCGCCTCCATGATCCAATCATCTCCCACCAGGTCCTTCCCTTCACACGTGGGGATTACAATCTGATACGAGATTTGGTTGGGGACACAGAGCCAAACCCTATCATTAATATACAGTCATTTTCTATATAATGACATTCTGATCATAAATGACGGTGGTCCTGTAAGAAAATAATACTGTGTTTTTAATGTAACCCTACTGTGTTTAGATGTTTAGATACACAAAATATTTACCATTGTGTTACATTTTGCCTACAGTATTCAGTACAGTGATATGCTCTCTAGATTTGTAGCCTAGGAGCAATAAGCTATATACAGCACAGCCTACGTGTGTAGGAGGCTGTAACATCTAGGTTTATGTAAGTACACTGTGATATTTGCATGACAAAATCGCCTAATGACACATTTCTCAGATGTATCCCTGTCATTAAATGACATGTGACTATAGTTAAAATTATCTGCCCTTTTGCTGTTTCCTATATATCTCATGTCTTTTTTGTTCCTCTTTCATTGTCTTCTTTGGTATTTTTGAATAACATTTTTAACTCCTCTGTTGATATTGTGGCTGTATTTTTTTGAGATAGGATCTCATTCTGTCACCCAGCATTGAGTACAGTGATGTGTTCCCAGCTCACTGTATTCTTGAACTCCTGTATTCAAGGGATCCTCCCACCTCAGCCTCTGGAGTAGCTGGGAATGCAGCTGTGTGCTGCCATGCCTATTTGACTATTTTTTTAATTTTTTAAAATTAGTTGCTCTAGAGATTATAATATTTATCTTTAACGTTCACAATTCACTTAAAATTAGTACTGACTTAACTTTATAAAATACAGCAAATTTGCACCAATGAAGCTCCATTTCATCTTTCCTCATCCCTTTGTTATTTATGTCATACACAGAAAATCATCACAAATAAAATACTGTGTTATAATTATTAAACATGTTCTTATTTTAAAGCAATTAAGAAAGCATAAGAAAAGGTATATGTGCACACATACAATATTTTCATTTACTCAAATATTCCCTTTAATCTACCTTTCTTCCCATGGATCGAAGTTACTGTCTGTGTCCTTTCTATCAGCCAAAAGAACTTTCCTTCTTTTTCCCTGTAGGTAAGGTCAGCTACCAGTGAATTCTGTCAATTCTTGTTTTGTCTAGGTGTGTTCTCCTTTGTGAGTGTGTATTCGTTGGTGTTCATTGAGTTCCTTGGGTATGGAAGTAGATGTTCTTCATCAAAATGGAAAGTTTTCAGCCGTTATATTTTCAAATGATTTTCTGACTCTTTCTCTCCCCTCCTTTTATAATCCACAGTAAACATGTGCTGGAATTCTTGAAGCTGTCGGTAGATCTCTGGGATTCGATTCCCTT